AGTTTAATTCTGTCTGTGTGTCGGCATGTTTGTATGTCTTTTCAAAAAGATTTTATGCTCTTTAAGTTGCAAAGCTAAAACCTCTTATGATCCCCCAAAGTTTTAAAAGCAAGATTTTTTTTAAAAATTTACTTTATCGGAACTACAATTAAGTAGAAATTGCTTTTTTCTTTTGCGAAAAAGCTTAGCCAAACACTACACAATTAAGAAATAGATAAAAACTGACTGTTATCTGAAATCTATTTTATATAAATTTATTTAACATCCTTAGCATCCATTTTAGGTGTTAAAAGTCTTAAATTTTATTAGCTTTTAGAAAATAGTAAACCGTTGCTACAAAATTTTTCCGAAAACCAGCAAAATTTCAATTTTAGGTTTCTCGTTTTTTGGTAACTATACAAGCTTTTTCAAATTTCTATAAAAAGTGTAAAATAACAGTGAATGTCCTTTCATTAAAATATAGAATTATTTGTTTTAACTCATTCTGTGGCCTCAAATGCAAACCGCCTAACTCGAGTTAAGACAAAAATAAGATATGTTTACCAGCGAATTCTCCGTTTTGAGTTTAATTCTGTCTGTGTGTCGGCATGTTTGTATGTCTTTTCAAAAAGATTTTATGCTCTTTAAGTTGCAAAGCTAAAACCTCTTATGATCCCCCAAAGTTTTAAAAGCAAGATTTTTTTTAAAAATTTACTTTATCGGAACTACAATTAAGTAGAAATTGCTTTTTTCTTTTGCGAAAAAGCTTAGCCAAACACTACACAATTAAGAAATAGATAAAAACTGACTGTTATCTGAAATCTATTTTATATAAATTTATTTAACATCCTTAGCATCCATTTTAGGTGTTAAAAGTCTTAAATTTTATTAGCTTTTAGAAAATAGTAAACCGTTGCTACAAAATTTTTCCGAAAACCAGCAAAATTTCAATTTTAGGTTTCTCGTTTTTTGGTAACTATACAAGCTTTTTCAAATTTCTATAAAAAGTGTAAAATAACAGTGAATGTCCTTTCATTAAAATATAGAATTATTTGTTTTAACTCATTCTGTGGCCTCAAATGCAAACCGCCTAACTCGAGTTAAGACAAAAATAAGATATGTTTACCAGCGAATTCTCCGTTTTGAGTTTCATATGCTCACAAAATTTGGTTGTTCTACGACTGTTGTAGCCGGAGTTATTATCAAATTCACACATGAACTAACTCGAAATGGTAACTATGTGCACTTACACTAATCGCCTAAATCGAGTTAAAATGAGAAAACATCTTTTTTATGTTTTTGACATACCACTTATTTGGAGATAGGCTATTGTTGCAAACCAAAATTAGTAAATAAAATTATATTCCATAACGTTTCTTTATGTTAAGTTTTTGTAACACGTGCAAGTTCTGCGGTTAACTCATAATTTTTTTCTTCCCCTAAAAGTATGCAATATATTATTTTTTTTATATTCAATGTATATATATATGTACTCGTTACTTTAATATATTGATGAAAAAATTTAAGTAAGTAGTTTCTGTTTTTTTTTCCAAAAAATACTTTCATTTTTCACTAGGAAAAAGTGCTATTTTACAAACCATTGGTTTTATCCAAATTTATTAAATTATTTATTGAATTTTCCGTACATTTACTGATTTAGAAATACGAGTAGCTACATATAATATAAAATAAATTTCATTCTTTGTAATATTTTGTATCATGAAAATTATTTACTATTAATTAATTATTTATTACTATTATTTATCCATTTTCTATTCAAATACAGAATAAATAATATTACATGCATTACTTTAAATAAATTATATTGTATATTTTTTATATTTTAATATTATAATATACATAAGTAGCAATATATTCATTTATTATAATGTTGATCTATTCAAGTATACATTCATGTTTTTATTTGGAAGAAAACAAAATAGCTATATACATAAAAATAAAAATAATATTAAAAAAAATTTTGAATTTTTATGATTTCAAATTCAATATTTCAAAATACACAAAATAGAAAAAAAGGGGAGAACATATTTTTATGAAAACATTATTAATATTTTTTATTTTTCAATTCGATGATAAGGGTTCCTATTAATATTGCAACAATATATTTAAATAATATTATGTGCACATAATATTACAATCATATCACAGGATGTCTCTTAATAATACAATGAATATAAGAATAATTTAAGAAATAAGACTTGTATTTTAAGGTATTCGTGCATGAATGCTACCTATTTTTCTATAATTTTGTTAAAATTTGTTTGATATCTTCAAATTAAATTTCGTACGAGTATTACTAATTTGTAAATATAGAAGAAACACGTGCTGAATTAATGGAATTTGAAAATTTTGATAAAACTAAAAGATTAATAATATTTAATTAGGCCAAACGCATCGAACATTGCTTATTGTCGAAAAAAAATTAATTCACGTTCGTTTCACTTTAAACTCACATCAATTTTTAGTCAAACGAAATTAATTCTACGAATGAAGTTTGTTAAAGGGCAAACCCTAGATAGTTAAAGCTGAAGTAGAAAACGATAAAGATTTCATGAATTTATGGTAAAAAATTTTGACCAATGTAAAAACTCATATTTTTCTAATTATAAGATTTTTATTTTCGGAAGATATTGTAGAATTTTATTAAATAGTTTTTAAATTTCGAATTGAATTATTATTCGAAAATATTCACTATTTTTGTTCATCGGATAGAAAATCCAATACACGTTGTTGAAATAGGGAAGTAGTTTTAAAAACTACTAGTAGTAAAAATAGTTGAATTTCTTAGAATTTGCAAGAAAACTATAAATTTTATTTTTATTTTTTATTTAATTTTTTTTTTTTTATTTTGTTAAAATTAATTTCCGAATAGAATATGTATTATGACAAAATTTATTTAATATTTGAAAAACATGTTTTTGAAAAATGGATCCTCCCATTATAATAAATTTTTGTGTTTAATATGGGATAGTTTAATAAAGTAACAATAAACTATTTATCTTTAGAAGAACAAATAAAAAAATCTGATGTGGTCAGCACATAACCGACCGCATTGTGCATTGTCTAGTTAAGTGAAAGTGTTACAGAATATTATAAAAATGCCTGTTAATTACCTCTTTCCAATTTTTAGGACATTATTAAGCTTATAGTTAACATACCTAGAAAAATGTAAATTTGGCTCTTAGTAGAGTTTCGCTTTGTGCTACCCGAATACCCTGCAATGCTCGCCAGTTAGTTTCGGTAACAACCAGAACTCAAATATCAAATTTCAAGAAATTCTATCAATTAGTTTCGTATAGATATGGTGAAAAATTTAAAATCGGCCCGTAGATCAGTTTTCGAGCCCTGATCTTTCCAAAAAATTTATATGTTCATTGTTTTAATACGAGGAATTCATATATTAAATTTCAATGAAATCGGTTGATTATTTCTCTTTATATACGCAAAAATCTATATTTGGCCCGTAGTAAACGTCTAGTTGCTGATGCCTGATTTCTTCCAAAAGTTAGGAGGTTTTGGGGCCGGTCGAGCGAAGCTTATATATGAAATTTCAAGCAAATCGGTTGAATAGTTTCTTCAAAATGGTCAAAAATGTAAAACAGGCCCGCTAAAAAGTGCAGTACCCGAGGCCTGATATATCCCAAAAGTTGATCAATCCGTGCCATGGTGGAAATAATCTTACATATAAAATTTCATCAAAATCGGTTCAGCAGAACTTGAGATACACGCGTGCACACACAGACTGACAGACCGACAGACCGACAGGTTGCTAAAAATAGTTTATTTACACTTCCCTACTATGGAGAAGTGCATTCCCACCGAAAACTCGATATGCAAAATTTGTTGCCATCACATAACCTACCTGTTGTATACACAATACGGTCGGTAAAAATTAAAAAAAAAAATATTTTTTTTTAAATATACGAAAGACTATAAAATTTATTTCTTTACTTATAATATTATTTATAAATTGTTAAAATGAAAATTTGGAGTTTAAACTTGGAACAGGCATATATTGAAAGATTCGTAGTAGTATTTAAGTAGTATAGTTTTTATTAGTAGTAATATTTTATTATTTAAAATTAGGAAAGCGAGAACAATTTTAAAAAAAATTTTTGTTGGGGACACTGTCTAATCGATCGAAATGCGGTATTTTCTGTTCATTTATATAGATTCACGCCTTGCTAAATATCTTGGTGGCAGAGTATTCCAAAAATGAATACTCTGCCACCAAGATCCGAATTTATTATGCCATACAAAATATGCATATATAAGTATATACAATTGTCGATATGCAAATGAATACTATTGTCGTGAACAATTATTTTTAATAAATTAAAGCTCGAAAACTTAACTGTTATAAATATACTTAACTGCAATTTGTAGGATTGCAAAAAATTGTAAAGATATCTTTTTTATAAAATTACTCATAAATCGTAATTATTGTACACGAGAGACAATATTCTTTCCATCATATTTCTAGAATATTTTGATATGGAACATTTTTTAATCAAATATTTTTAATATCAAAATTTCGGTATTATGATATATTGACTATGAGGTTATAAGTAATGTCAGCTGTCGGCAAAGTGCAGCCCATTCAACTTCAAAATCCGGCCCATAATTCTGTTTGAGAGAAAAAAAATATTCGTTTGCGACTATTAAAATTTCAAAAAAATATAAAATATATATAAAAAAATATATATAAAATAAATCAAAAGAATTTTAGGATATCAATCATAGATAATATCGATGTAGGTATATAAAATTCCATATAACTTTATTATTATTTTCCAAAAGAAAACAATTAATAAAGTAAGTTGAAAATGTCATTTTTTTCTTGTAAGCAACAAATGTAAGAAAATCGAATGGTCCATATACTCAAATAGTACATATTTGCCCATAACCTACAAAAATTTACTGACGATTGAATTGTACAATATTAAAAATTTTAATTAGATTATAATTGAAAACTTCATTTTAATTTTTATATTTTTTACCTTTATGGCTGTCGGATATCCTTTTCTTAAAGAAAATTCCATTTTCTTCTTGAAAAAATTTCTAAATAAACAACTCTTAATACAATTTTAGATTAAAACAATAGTCAAAAATTAATTTAAAAATATTTCAACAAAATTTCTTCTAATATCGAAACTTAATTTTATTCAATTAAAATTAATTTTTAACACAAAAAATTTAAAATGAAAAATATTTAATTTTAATTTTTTTAATAATTTTGCAAGTATTTTATTAATTTAAATTATTTATTTTATTATTAATTATAATTTCTTTTTTAAAGATCAATTCGAACATTTATTAAGGAATTCGAAATATTTACAAAATTCTTTAAAAAAAATTATTAATTTTTTTTTCAACTTGCTTCCTCTTTTTGTTGTTTTTTTTATTTATTTTAGTTTACAAACACTTTATTATTTTCGAAAAATTTTCGAATTTTTTATTTTTGTTTCTTTTTAATGTTTGTGTGATGTTTCATGATATATTCATATTGTGTAAAAAATTTTATGAAAAGAAAAAAAAAGAAATAAAATTAAAAATTTAATAAGAAGGGAAAAAAAATTTTAGAAAATATTAAAAAAAAAATTTAAAAATTTTTAATTCACATTTTCGATAATAAATTTTTTTAAATTCTTTTTTTTTTAATTTTTAATATTTTTATTAAATAATTTCGAAAATTTTTTCAATTATAATTTCTCTCTATTATTATTATTTGTTTTGTTTCAATCTTAATTTAATTTATTTTACTCTTAATTAAAAGAATTTTCCAATAATTTCGAATAAAATAAAATAATATTTTCAACTAATAAATTTTTATTAAAAATAATATTTTGCAATTATACACACACTTTCAAAATTATAGAGTAGCTACTCGTATATTCTTACACGTAATTTATAACCACAAACTTATCATTACAAATATATATTAAAGAAATTATTATTAGATGAGAAATTGTGGAACGGAGAGAGAGAAAGTAAGAGAATGTTCGAAAAATATTATAAACTAATAATAAGCTTAGTGTCTACCACCCGCTGTTTTATTACGGTCGAACGATGAAAATGCACTGAATGAAGAATTTTTGATGATGGGGAAAAGTTTTTTATTTTTAATTTTTCTTTCTCAAAATTTTTATTATTATTTTTTTTTTGTTTATGTTTTGTTGTTCTTAGTTTTTTGTTTTATATTTTCTCTTTTACGAGCATTTTTTGAGTTTTTTTTATTATATTGTTGTTCTCTGCGTTTGTTAAAATGGCAACGACAAAATTAAAAATAAAAATTTACAAAACTAGAATGCAAAAAATGCATAAACACACAATAAATATTTTGTAGGGTTACCTATTTTACCCGTTTTTCTCTTTTAGATTTTTGATGTTTTTTGTGTAATTTTTTTTTTCTCTTTTTTTTTGTTTTTGTATTAATTTTCTTTATTCCTTTAGGTGAACATTTACATTATTATTATTTATAGGAATACAATAATTATATTATAATATTATGTATATAAAATACGTTTGTGTGTGTATTTGAATTATTTTCAGTGGTTTTATGCTCCACTGGTGCTGGTCGAACATGAACTTGTTTGTTTGCTTTTTTTTTGTTGTTTTACTTTTAATTTTTAAGAATTTTCATTTTCTTATTATTTTTCCTCAGTTTTTGTTTTTTATTTTTCCTTTTTTTCTTATTTTTTCTTTTTTTTTTGCTGTTTGCTTATTTATAAAATTTTGCTTTATGTATATACACAAACATTTATATAGCTATAAATTATTTTTGCTTTAAATTTTCATAAGAATTTACAGTTATAGCAAAAAAATACATAAAACAGTTAAGGATAGGTTATTGATATGACGTGTAAAATGGGTAAAGAAAATTTTTTTCTCTTCTTATATTTTATAATATTTTTATTTTTAAATTTTTGTTTGCAAAAAAGAACGAAAAAATCTCGCGGCGCCTGTTGATTTTTTAATAAGACACTTAATATGAGTAAAAGTAGCTATGTATTTATATAGAAAAAAAAATAAATGAAAAAATATGCAATTTGTTGTTGTGATGTTTGTTGCTGCTGTTGCAAAACCAGTATATACTCACTTGTTGTTCCTTTCTTGAAATAAAAGAATACATAAAATTTTTTATTGAAATTATGACGTTATCATTAACATAAAAATTTTTTGATATGTTTTTTTATTTTGTTTCTTGTATATTATTATAATTTTATGTACAAAGGTTGGACGGTCAGTAGGTGATTTAGGAAAGGTCATACATCATTATGATATTTTGTTTCAAATATTTGAATAGAAATTTACATATTATGCTTAAGCAATATTATTTATTTATACATATAAAATATTCTTAATTCCTTTTTAGGCTTATCCTTCTATAATTAAATCTGCTGTTGCTTATCAAAATTAGTTTAGTTTGTTTTTGTTATCTGAAATGAGAAATAATAATTAAGGAATTAGTTCACGTGCTATATTAAAATTCAATGTTGTGCTATTTAAACATTATGATAAAAAAAAATAAATACAGGGTGTTTTGAATAATTTAAGCAAAAAATCATGGACTACATGCCTGTTACAAAAAAGGTACCAGATTTTTCTCTCATATAAAGTAATTGATATTTGTGTTTATTTATTTATAAGTAAGTGATATTTTTCTTCCCCTTTATAAGTAATTGATATTTGCTCTTTATTTTCGGTCCTACAGTCAAATTATTTCAATCGCCATCTTATGTGAAACACCCTGCATATTAGCTATTGTAAAATAATTTCAAAATGTATGTATGTTACTGTTAATGAAAATCCATTTTTAAATCTTTTGTAATTATCAAATCATATGCACAATTTTATATTAAAATATCAAAAACACGTACATAATTTATAACTTGTTTAATTACAATTTAACCATAACAAAGGATAAAATACTAAATTTATTCAAGTAATTGAAATAATAAAATTATCGATTTTATGTAGTTATGTATACATACATAACATATTTATATAACATGGATGAATACGTACACGTACTTTGATCTTTTGTAATATGTTTTCTATGTACATATTATCTTATACATAATATTATTTAAATAGAATGTATACGAAAGCAAAATTAAGTACAAAGCATGTAAATAAATTTAATTTTACAATTTGAAATGCAATCATCTGTAATACCGTAATTAAATCATTAAAGTTATAAATTTAAATTTTGAAAGGATTATGCAAATGTATATGTATGTATGTTTATAAACGAATCAGTAATGAGAAATTAAATTAGAATTTTAATGATATTATTATTATTTCTACATTTTTGTATTAAAATAAAAATCACAATGAATTTTCAGCCAAATAGAGAAATTCGCAAAATTGTCCACAAGACTAGTAATGTAATACACAATATCTTCTGTTTATTGCTAAAGAAGCGTTTGATTTCTATTTCATACAAAAAGTAAGAATGCTTACGAATTTTTTATACTCGCTTATATAATATTATACATATAGGGGTATATACACTTTGCCACAACGTATATAGCAGTAAGAAGATAACATTTACGACATTTAGCCGCAACTAAATGCTAAGTCGCTCTAGCTGCATTCGTCTTGTTGTAGCTCTACTGAATGTAGGTCGAAGTTGAAAAGGTCAGTTTCAGTGACTAGTCCCGTTAGAGATTTTGAAAAAAGCTCACAAGTTTTTTGAAAGGATTTTGAAAAAATTAAGTTTATTAAGTAATAAAAAGAAATAGGGAACATTTAGGTAAAAATTTTCTTTATAAGAATTCTGCTGTATATTGGGAATAATTAACTTTTATAAAACCAAAAGAGCTATTTATCAAAATAAATATGAAAAACCTACTATTTTATGTTTCACTCATAGCCTGGTACTACTAAGAAGAATAGTTGTTATGTTGAATTGTTCTAATATCTGTCATACAAAATAATTTTATGTTTGCTCTAAAATTTAACCACACGTTTCATTTTGATAATTCCACTATTTTTCATTTTTATATTCATCAAATATTTTGACAAAAAATAATGACCTTCAATTTAATAAATAATAAAGCTAAAATAACAAAATCTTAATTGCCCTTCAGAAAATATGGTACACATAAGTGATAAATTACACTTCTATATAATATTTTTGTTTTTCTTGCTAATCAAAAATGTCAACAGCTTTTAATTGCATACTTAATGTAGTCTTCAGATAAAAATTCTAGAAATAGATTTAATTTCATTAAATTCGGCAAGATGTTCTCTTAGAATTGTCTTATTCTAATTTGTTAAGCTTGTACAATAATCATAGTGTAATTTGTACACTATGATTATTGTACTTACAACTTTATATTAGATTAGAATTTTTTATTTATTTTTATTATATTGTAATTAACCCTTTGTTACCAGAGAATAGAAATAGGTAAAATTTGTTTGCTAAATTGTTTTGTTTTTATAGTATATAGAAGCTATAGTTTCGTAAAAAAAAAATTTTTTTTTGGCTTCGGTTGTTGGGTCTGAGTTTAAGGACCCGATACTTATAAGTATCGTCAGTTTTCTACGACTATAATTAAACGTATAAGTGCAGAAAAACGAAGTTAGAATTGTAATTTTTTATTTATAAACTAATTTTTAATTTACTCTCAAGTTGGTGATACTTGAGAGTAGCGGCAGTCAACAAGGGTTAAATTATGTATTGCAAAAATATAATATTATATTGAGAGCAGCACTAGGTTATTGCGAAGGCAAAAGTTGCATACGATAGAAAAGAACCTCATGAAAAACTGTGAGAATAGCAAAATGTAATAGAAAAGTATTTTCTTGCTCTCAATCGAATTAGAAAGTTCATCGAACATTATCAGTAAAAATTTTTTATGTGGATGAAATTCGTATGGTATTCCAAAAATATTTCCGTTGTCTCTTATAAACGAACAAGGAAAACAAAAAAAAAAACAAAATTTAGAAATAGAATTTTTTTCTTCTTTTGAAAAAGTATTCGTAACTAAGAACCGCTAAAAACAAATAAAATATAAAAAATTTCTAAAATTAAATTCAACTTTTTAAATATTAATATGCGGCAGTCAATAAATTTGCTAACGATAAAAAAATTTATGTTTTTCGCGCGAATCTACAATAAAAATACAAAAAAAAAAATATTGTGGCCATGAGAACTTTGTGTAAGAGATTAGAAAAATTAAATTTTCCATATTATTTTTCCCAATTCTTTCTGAATATGTTCTTTATTTGTTCAATAGTTTTTTGTCCCCAATTCTCACAACATAATAATAACTGTATTTTTATCCTGAATTATTTATTTCTATAAATTAATATTTTATCTTAACCCGTAGAATTATCAAAATAATAGCAAATTGGTTCTGTGAAAATCTAGTATCGGAATGTGAATAATTTTATAAAATAAGTTTAATTTACTTTCGAAATTGAATAGAAACTAATCTTCCTTACTTGCAAGTTATATAACTTCTATAGTTAAAAACACCCCGTGTTCGTGAATTTTATTGTCCTCCAATCCACAGTTAATTATTTTCATATAGGAAAATAGTTTTCCACTAGGGATTCAAGACTTTTTATCAGTTGATTTAGGACTAATGCCAACACTAATTAATTCATGTTTTCTAATAAATTTGCTTATTTAATTTCCTTTGTTTTTAATTGATTAAGACCAGTTTATATGTCCAAGAAGTTATTCCAATTTGCTCAGCATTTAAAAATTGTTTAGAATATTATAAGTTAATCCTATCATTTGAATCTAATCGAAGAACCAAAAGTAAGACTTAAATATTTCGGAAACTAATGTAACATAGAACTTTATTGTTTAAATTTTATATAAATGAGTTCAGTTCTAGAACCATCATAACAAAAAATAAGTTTGATGATATCGTTGTAGTGTTGTCTTTAAAAATAATTATTGAATCAGAAAAAGAGAACTTCTAAAATTGGTAATATTTAAGAAATATACAGTTTTAGTCATAATTTCAAAGAAAAAATCGTTCAGGCCCCAATAATCCAATTTAGTAGTGAACATTAACTATTCGAATAAAACACTGTGTATGTAATTACAGGACTAGTTTCCATGTCAACTTTAATTCTTTGTGTTAAACTTAACTTTATTTTTCAGTATTTATTTTTATTGTTAATTCTGACTTACAAATATAAAATTTGTAAAGTATTTCCATTTTATGAAATTTATTTAAATTAATAAAATTTTCATTAGTACTAATATGAAAATTTTCTATTAAATTCTATGTAAAAAAATAAATTTCAGAAGTTTTAAAGTACTCATGTTTTATAATATTTTAAAACAATGTGAAATTATTTTTATAATGCTAAGCATGTAGATTTAACGTCGTGTATAGTTTAAAATTCAATTTTAAAGCAATTTGAGTTTTGATTCCTCTATGTACTTGGAAAATCTATTACTTTTTTTTTTTAATTTTAATACACATTTTTGCAAACAGAAATTTTTTTGCATAAATTTTTTCCTAGAATTATAAACTTTTTTATTTAAAATTGTAAACACTTTCAAATTTAGATTTGATAACAACATTTATTAGATGGAAAAAGTGTAAAACAGGGATTTCAAAATTATGCACAGAAACAGAAAAATCAAATGCAGTACTTAACAAAAAAATATGTGCATTTATAACAGTTTGTGTAGGTGTTAAAATTTTCCAAATAGAAAAATAAAAAAATATTTTTTAAAAATGCTTTGAATTTTTACATGAAAGTTATACTGGTACCTTTTCCGAGAAACTTTATATTACATTGTACGTTACATGTAAATCAACTTACAAGAAAAAAATTTCAACTACAAACTAATCCAAAATTTTTGATCTGGATAAATTCATAAACAACATGCAGCACAAATTAGTAAAAACAAAAAGAAAACGTGTCTTCGCACTTAAAATCCGTTCTCCCTTGAATGGATAATAAGAGTAAAAATTCAATATTCAGTCAATAATCTTAGAGAAAATGTGTAAATTTAGACGTACTTGAAAATTTTTATATTTGCGTGCTAGGTAAACGAAATAAGAAATCGATTCATACGAATACTTAAAAAACTTTTACACCTTAATCTGTGTATGTAAGTAAACATTTACATTTCCAAAGTATTATTTAATCAAATACTTCTAAACAAGAGAGATTTTATTTTTATACAATTTTCAAGTTCATTTTTCTTTCAATACGACAATAAAAAGAAAATAGAGACATAAAAAGACGACAAATGATTGTTATAAAAAGTATAACATAAGAAAATTGCACAGAAAATGATCGTGTTCTGAAAAGGTTAACACTTTTAATAAACGAGAGAAGTTTTTATCCCATACTTTTTATAATAATTTCGATTGATTGTTCGAAATAGTTTCGGTTATTCTTGTAAAATATTGTGTATGAGTGAAATAAATATTTCAATTTTTTCAATATTATT